AGCCCTTCATGCTAAAAACTCTCAATAAATTCGGTATTAATGGAACGTATCTCAAAATAATAAGAGCTATTTATGACAAACCCACAGCCAATATCATGCTGAAGGGGCATAAACTGGAAGCATTCCCCTTAAAAAGTGGCACAAGACAGGGATGCCTTCTCTCACCACTCCTATGCAACCCACATTTTTTGTGTCACCTGCAGGCTAGATCCCAGGCAGGCAACAAAAGACATAGGAGTGAATGTCAGAGACAAGACCCTGCAGAGAAGTCAGGGCAGCTGCCAGCAAAAGACACCAAACCAGGCAGAACATAGCTCTTTCTGGTTCCTTAAGTTTAGTGATCCTGATCTTAGGGGGAGGAGAGAAAATACTTTTTAAAGACCAGGTCAAAAATAGCTCAGTGTATATGCTGTGTTGGTGACTCTTGCCGTCTGGTTTCAGTGCTGATTTTAACACCTTTAGCAATCTCAGATTTAAAGCTAAGTTATTCTGGCACTTGGTAGGTTAGATCCCTAGGGATGATCCTATCACTGGGGGTTATTTCTCACTGAAGTGTAAGGACTTGTATAACTGTAAGCTGTAGGTGTGAATTCTGAGCATTTAACTGAATGGTATGAATCTGCTGTGTTAAGTTTTCCTTCCATCCTGAAGATTCTAATAGCTTGTCATGATCCAGCTGAATGTGGATTTTTCCTTTGTTGATGCTGGCCCACTTAGGCCCAGGTCCAGCAACTTAATGAGCAGTTGCAGGGAGCATTCACTGGAAATAGAAATGAAACCGACTCCCTTTATGTAACTTGGAAAGGAGTCATAGTGCTGGAAAATAATCTTAGACCTCAACTGACCTGGGTTCTGCCACTTCGTTTCGTTTCCAGGGAAACGAAGTGACTTGCCCAAGGACACTTGTGTAGTTTGGTCAGGCTATGACCGAGAGGTAAAGTCCCCTGACTTCCAGTACTAGACCACATTGCCTTCATTTTAATGCATTTTAAACTGACTTTTAGGTACAGTCCCATGTCCAAAAAGTTCAACTTTCCATTTGGCCCATTGAGAGGAACCTCCATTTATAAACCCTCTGAGAGGCAGAATATAGGTGTCTTTCACAACCCGTTCCTGAATTTCACAGCTACTAGGAATTTTTATGTGCTGTTTTCTTCCTCCTATCCCACTCCACAAAATGCCACTACCTATTACTTTCTTTGAGCAAATAGCATTTTTAATCATTCTCTTTTTCCTTGATTTCAATTCTCTGGAGGCCTATCTGCTCCATTTGCCACAGATAACATGCAGAAACCTCACTTGCAATGAAGGTCGCACTTCTCTTGGTAGCCTGGCATTTCGGCATTTAAAGAAGCTAAGTATCTCCATCCCCATTAAATTAGGCTCAAATTGGAGAAGAGAATTACATAGTTAAAAACACAGAGGCAAAATGATGGATTAATGTTATACCTTAATGTAACACATCATGACATGCAGTAGGAGCATTAGACCAATTAGCAAGCAAGTCTTCTGCTTGGGTTCATCATTTCTACTGTGTATGTAGAAAGGGATAGTAATTTGAAGGATGGCATTTATCAAACCCCTTTGGATAAAAAGTGTCCACTCTAGCAACATGACCTGCATTCATTATAAAGATGGCACCCCATTTGCCCACATGGCAAAGACCCAAATGCTACCCCAAAAATACTGTTTCCAAATTGGCGGTTATGCTTCTGACTTTATTTCTAAAACTTATTGAAATCCATTGCAATTGTGTCTAAATTGGAAGTTTAATATGCTCCAAAAATATATCCTGCTCTTTTCTTGAGAGGCAGCAAATTCTAAGTGATGCCATTTAGCAGGTGTTTTGGTCTGGGTCTCCCCCACCCCTCTCTGCTCTTCGTTCCTTATCAGTCTGATTGGTAACAGAAAGGAGAGGGGAACAATAAATCTTCCAGTTCTTCCTGGTGTGAATGCCCAAGATATTGTCAGAAGCAAAACGTATGAGGAGGTGGGGGGAGTGTGGGTCAGCAACTTGCAGGGGAAAGGGATGGTTTTCTGCTATGGTAAAGCAGAAAAACCCTGTCATGGAGTTTAAATTAACAGAATCTGCCCAGAGGGGAGCCATGGTCTTTGTGTGGCTGATTAATGTCAGTCCTGTAAACGCAGCACTCCAACAACAGGGCTAGTCAGCTGACCAGGAAGCTTGGAGAACAAGAATCTCCTGCCTAGGGGATCAGAGCCCAGCTGAGTGCCTCTAAACAGGGCTGAAGAGAAAGCTGCAGGCTGGGAACAGAAGTGATGGAATTAGATTTCAGCTATGTGTCTCAGTGAAGGAAACACAGGCAGCCATTAAAAGCACCTTCCCTTTTGGCCTTGCTGCTGCAAAGAGCAGCAGCGTGCAAATCCGCCCCTACCTCTCCTCACTCATCTGTTCACAGCACCATGGCCTTCAGAACAGTGTGTCAGAAATCACCTTCTTCCATAACTGATCTTCAGGCCTGAAGAGGAAAAATTTCCAAGCATAGATCTCCTGAAATCCCTAAGGAGATTGGGCAAAGAGCCTAGGGAAAACAGGACTTTGCATGTTGTTCCTCATGCCTACCTAAAAATGCTGGTTGCACCAGGCAAGTCCTTGGTTAATGCATTAGTGAAATAGAATTTGTAGTTCCCAGCACATGCACTAATGAAAGTCCCTGCATGAATTTCCTGCCTGCTCTTCTTGTTGGCAAGAGCAGCGTACCATATGCTGGAGGTGGAAGTTAATTCTGTAGGGAATGTATGTGATTTGAAAACCTGTACGGTGTATTTATGTCAATTGCCAATGTGTTTCCATAAATGCATTTTTGTGACTTTGAGAGGCATCCTGAGACCATTGAATCAGTCAAGGTAGCTTCCGGGGCACACAACCTATTCTGACACCCAGACAGGGCCATTGTTTTCCAGGTGCAAGCTCGATCACCTCTGCAACCCCTCTGTGTATTCCCCTAGGGATTCATGTTGAAGAATTCAATCTTGCCGTCACTCCAACAATAGCCAGAAAGCACCCCTAAATGGCTGCTCTGAAGCCTTATTTCAAGGAGGCAGCAAGAGAAGAGGAAAGCCTTCTTATTTTTAATCCCAGCATCAATAAAATCACAGGTTGATGTGTATACATCACAGAGCGGTTGTTTTGAAAAAGAAATAAATGATGAAACTTCAGAAAAAAATGGACTCTCTGGAACGGAACCAAGAACAAGCTCTCAGTGTTGACCTTTTGGTTAAAGCCACATAATGCAATTCATGTCATCCCTCCAAATATATGATTTTATTGGTTTGCTGGGAACTTGGGCTTAAGAGAAATTGTACACTAGGAAAGTAAAATGTTTAGCTCTTATTATTGCCAAATGAGGTGTTACAATAAGAAAAAAGATGGCTAGGCCCTCCCCTCTAAGAGCTTATATTCTAAGTTTCCATGATTCTCAAAAGACATTTTCAGATGGTTGTCATAACTAAAGACCTCTGACTAATGTCTGTCTTCATTAACAGTATTTAGGATCAGAATGGTGCTTTTTCAGCCGACAAGGCTGTTACAATTTACTTCTTATAAATCCTAACAACTAAAGTGACCTTGAGGTTTCTAAACCATTTCCAAGTGCTGAGATCCTCTAATGAAACCAGTTAAATCAATATTCAGAACTAGAAGTCAATCTAACTGTTATTCAATAATTAATTGGTAGTTAATAGACATTTCCTAGTTTATATGTTTTAGCTTTAGTACATAGTAATATAAAATGGTATTTTGGTAACTAAGTACATTTCTTGAAATCATAGAGCAGGAGAGCACCCTTGGACTAGATCTTCTCCCTTCCTTGATGGAGTGCTCCAGGCTCACTGGCCCTTGGATTTCTTTTTTCCCTCTATAATCCCTTGTGACCTCATTCATTTCTCATGGCTTTGCGTGACATCTGTACACCAATGACACTCAAATTTATAGCTCCATCTTGGCTCTCTCCTCTGCACTGCAGCCTCTTCTATCTGACTTTCTGCTTGACATCTGCACTTGAATATCAAATGCACATCTCACACTTAATCTGTCCAGAATAGGGCTTCTGGTCTTTCATTCAAAACCTAGTCTTTCTGCAGCCCTCCCCATCTCAGCTAATGACAGCCTCCTTTTTCCAGTTGCTCAGGCCAAAACCTAAGGGTCATTCTAGAAGCCTCTGTTTCTCTCACATCTTATATCCTGCCAGCTTCACAATCAGAAAACACTCTCACCACCTCCAAGTTCAGAACACATCCAGGAACCCTTCATTTCTCACCAACTGGGTGCTTAGAATAGATGTGGAACCTGACCCCTATTCACCACTTCCAACACCATCTGCCTTGTTCAGGCCACCAAGATTGCACGCTTCTGTTGCTGTAGGAGGCCACTGACTGGTCTCCCACCTTCCTCTCTGACTGCCCTTCCATCTGTTCAGGAGCAGAAGCTGGAGGGAGCCTGTTAAAATCTACATCACATCTCATGACTCCTATCTCACAGCTCACCAGTGGCTTCCCCTCACCACCACTACAGCCCCACTGTAATGTAAAATCTCCTCAAGAAATGCTGGACTTGTCCATTGCTAGACTCGCAAGCCCCTAGAAAGTGCCTGGTAGATTCTAAATAAATCTGTGTTGAAGTAATTAATTAATTAATCGGTTTGGGTTGGTTTCTATTTCTCTTTCTGTGCCACATCTTTACCGCTGCATCTATTAGCCTCTGAGAGTTTTTCTTAAAGATCTGTGGGGGGCAAGTTGTATATTAAGAATATCCAACTATTTCTGATATTTGTTGCCAATATTTTCCCAGTTTCTTTGCCTTTTAATTTCATTTTTTTCCACAAACTGAAATTTACATTTTTGTAGAGCCACAGCTGTCTGTTTCTGTAATAACTGTTTTTCTTGTTGTGGCCCTTCAAAAGTCTGCAAAGCTGTAACATTCTAGCGCAGATCATCTGGCCTTGTTCTTGCCCACTCATGTTCCTGTGTCTCTCCCACAGGCATCAATAGGAAGGTCGTGTACTCCCTGGCAGACTCAGCTGGTGGGGTCTTCTCCATTGACAGCTCATCCGGCATCATCATCCTGGAGCAGCCACTGGACCGCGAGCAGCAGTCTTCATACAACATCAGCGTGCGGGCCACTGACCAGAGTCCTGGACAGTCCCTGTCCTCTCTCACTACTGTCACCATCACTGTCCTGGACATTAACGACAACCCCCCTGTGTTTGAGAGGAGGGACTACCTGGTGACGGTGCCCGAGGACACCTCCCCTGGCACCCAGGTTCTTGCTGTTTTTGCTACCAGCAAAGATATTGGCACAAATGCTGAGATCACTTATCTCATCCGGTCTGGGAACGAACAAGGGAAATTTAAGATCAACCCCAAGACAGGTGGGTAAATAGCACTGTACTTAGAATGCAGAGCTTCAGCTTGGCATGGTGGCTCACACCTGTAAACCCAGCACTTTGGGAGGCCGAGGCAGGAAGATCGAGTGAGTCCAGGAGTTCAGGACTAGCCTGGACAACAGAGTGAGACCTTGGCTCTACAAAAATTTAGAAAAATATAGTAGCCAAGCATGGTTGCATGCACCTGTGGTCCCTGCTACTTGGGACGCTGAGGTGGGAGAGTTACTTGAGCCCTGGAGCCAGAGGCTCTAGTGAGCCACATTCCTGCCATTTCACTGCAGCCTGGGCAACAGAGTAAGACCGTGTCCAACACACACACACAAAAAAAGGATGCAGGACTTCACTATATCCTGCTTCTCCTCCACTCTGCCAGCCCTTCTTGGCGGACTCTTTTTCCTCCTCCTACCTCCTTCACAGAGGAAACAAATCTGGTAGCAGGGCCCACATGCAGACCACAGAGTGCCCTCCAGCTTTTAAGGATGGCTCCTGCTAAATTTTAAGCTCCTTGCTGTGGGCTTACTTAGTAAATATCTGACCTCCAGGTTGGCTCCAGAATTTCTAGATGGGAGGGGTCAGGGGCAGCAATATGGTTTCTCAATGGGGAGAGGAAACAGTATTTGTATTCCAAGAACAAGAGTTTGTTTGATTTTCTCTCTTTTCTGTTTGATGTTGGGTGTTTTGACTTCAGTCATATGTGCACATGTTGGAAAATGTTCGTGGGGATGAGCCTCCATGTGCAACTGTCCACACTTGGACTGCCACTCTTTCATGACCTGCATAGGCAGATGCCGATAAGTGATCTGCATGGTGATATGCAGCCTTCTCAACCCAGCACCCCAAATAGACTCATTGGTGAGCTGGAACCGGTGCTTTGTTTGAACCCAGTTCACAATTCCTGGTCAGAAAACTCATTTCTCACCACATCCTTTTCCAGCTTTGGGGGAACGTGTAGCATCACCTAGGGAATAAAAAGGTGCTTCGAAATAAAGGGAAAGAATAAGAGAGAACCCTGGGGCTTTCTCTTCACCAGCGAGTTAATAAGTATTAGAGGTGCTTCAGGCAAATAAAGGTCGTAATTCTAGAAAACAAGCTTGGATATTCTTTGAAGACTAAACATACTCATCCTTGTGTTTTCATAGAGTGTATGGATTTCTATCCCAAAGCTCTTTGGTGGATATTCTCACTTATTTCCCAATTCCCCTATGAATAGTCAAGGCAGTTCCCATTTTGCAGATAACAAAGATGAGTCTCTCACCTTCCAGCCTTTGAACATAGTTCCCTCGTCACTCAAGGAGTATGCACCTGTTGAAAAACGTGGCAAAGGAGGTCCATTTTCCTTTGGATAATCCAGTAAATATAAGCAAGAAACCATTATAATTAGCAATGTTTATTTAACATGGCAAATACTCCAGGCTCTTATTAAGTAAAACCAGAACTTTAAAGACATTGAATAATTACCACAATGTCCACTGTTAATAAGTGGTTTATCCAACGTTTGAACTAAGATCTTTCTGACTCTGGAATGCATATTCTAATATAATATAATATAACACTGCTATACTATACCAAAAATGTAAGAAATGCAGTCTTGGCCCTTAAGTATTGGAAGGTGAAAATATTGATGGAAGAATTGCATCACAGTCTCTCCTGGCAGTAACTGTTTACTAAAGTCATTATCTCAAATAAAATGTATGAGGGTTTCCCTCATTTAAATATGTGTTGGCCCTAGCCTGTCTAGTTATGGCCATTGTGTATAAACACCATGGGGAAATGGCTAAGTACTATTTAAATTTAGCACTAGTTAGCAAGACTGGGATGCAAAATAAGCACTAGGGGTGGTAAGTGCTAAGAAAACTTAATTATGGAGAGAAAGAGGCTCTTGTTACAGGTATGATTTCTGTGTTTTGCCTTAGGTAGAAAGAGCCTATTGGCAGTCTTAGCAACTAGAGAAGTTGTCTGTCTGGAAATGTGAATAGTCATGACCTTCTCACCGGTCCTCATGATTGTTTACTAGGTGGGAGGAAAGTAAATGCCCTTGAGAAGTGTTCTGCAGGCAATACAATGACTGCAGACTGCAGGATTGGGTTACCTCCCCAGAAAGGGCTAGGATGGGAGGGATATAGCACCAACACCCAGCTAGCTGCTTTCACATGTTCTACTTATTTAAGCAATTCTGTGACACAGACATTATCGTCTCTATTCTGTAGTTGCGGGCACTAAACTCAATATGTGCCTGCTGAGCTGTCTGATTTCCAAGTAGTTCCTTTTCCATTATGTCTGTATACCTTGAGATTTCTGAGATCTTTGCCCTCTTTGTGCCATAATTGTTTTAGATAAGTGCGTTTTAACTTGGCAAGGCAACTTTGTGGTTAATCCCATTCAGTGAAGTCTGCAAGTATTTACTTGCTGACAAGAATGGGGTCATACCATCACATCCCCACATCTCAGCTCATTCTTGGTCTTCTTCTGTCCACCTGAGGCATCAGAAGACACCTATAAGGGATGCTTGTTTTTGTTCCTACTCGTTAGTTGTGTGAGAGTGAAGATGCCAGAGATTTTCAACTGCCTCAGAGATGTTCATAAACTGTTACAGAAACATGTAAAGACTTTTCATTTCTTCAGGGTTATGTTTGATGGCTAGCTATGCTCTCACTGACAGCATTAATCAGACCTCTGTAATACTTTCAGTAAGGCATTAAATAAACAAATTCCTGAATGTTTAAATTCTTGGCTGGAGAGGATGTTAGAAATATTACCATGATTATAGAATTGCTGACCAGTGTTTTTTCCTAATCAAATATAAAGCTCCCCATTTTTCTTCAAAGGGGGTATTTCTGTCTCTGAAGTCCTGGACTATGAATTATGCAAAAGGTTTTACCTGGTAGTGGAAGCCAAAGATGGTGGCACCCCAGCTCTCAGCGCTGTGGCCACTGTCAACATCAACCTCACGGATGTTAATGACAACCCTCCCAAATTCAGCCAAGACGTCTACAGTGCGGTTATCAGTGAAGACGCCTTGGTGGGAGACTCTGTCATTTTGGTAGGTACCTGAGGTTGGGGATGGTTCTAGATGTCTGGGACTAGTCATCCACAATAAAGTGAAGAAGAAAGCAAAGTCTGTCTTGAATTTTCTTCATACTTCCCCCTTTCAGTGTCCATTTGTCCCCAAGAATGGGGGCCATCTTTCTATGGCTCCTTCTGTAATTTGTATATTAGGAAGAGTCTGATAGATTAATTTATATCAAGGTGTGATTGATAATCACTTATTTCCCGGGAGCATATCTTTTTTGAGAAAACAACACAGACCATGGGATGAATTTTTAATGATAGCCTCCTACTTAGATGTGAACATAGATGACAGGTTATTAGGTGGCTAAGCGGAATACATTCTTTTTTTTTTTTTTTTTGAGATCTGTTGCACAGCATGATGAATATAGTTAACAGTGGTATATTGTACATTTCAAAATGGCTAAGAGTAAGTTTCAAATGTTCTCACCACAGAAAATGCTAGGTATTTGAGATACTTGATATGTTAATTAGCTTGATTTAATTATTCCACATTGTGTTCGTAAATCATAATATCACTTTGTACCCCGTAAATATATGCAAGTATGATTTGTCAATTTACAATTTAAAATTATTAGATTGCTGAGGACAAAATAAAATCCCTGTCCTCCTTTCCCCCTACACACACAGACACACAGAGTTGGGCAGCTACAATTTGGAGCAAACCTAAGATTGACTGGCCACTCTTAAAGGAGACTTTTCCAGGAGGAACTTTTTCTAACAGTAAGAACAAGCCGTGTATCCTGAGAACACAGATTCTCTTAGACCGCAAATTACATTTTGGAACAATGAGTCCCCTTCTCACCATTCTTCCCCATCTCTTAACTGGCAGGTCCCTTCCATCCAAGTCATCTCGTTGCAGGATGAGGCTGGAGCAGCTCTCTGCTGGAGGACAGTGCATTTCTTACACATCAGAAGTGCACTCCTCAGGCCCGCTCTGCTTCCTGGAAAGTACACGAATATTTCCATACATATAAATTTCAACATCATCAACCTGGAACAATAGACAGAGGGGCTGTATATTTGCTGTGGGGGAAGGGGAACTTTCTTGGCTTCCTTAACATGGAAATGCATAGGCCTAGAGAATCCCTGACTCAATGGGAGAGACCATAGCTTGCAGGATTGGGAAAAAAATCAAAGCATTCCTGTCCATTAGCTTTGGGGTCTAACCATACTGTCTCAAACCCTGAGGAAAATCAGGCCTAACAGGCATCAGGCTGTGGGCAGGTAAAAAATTAACATAGAAATAAAATGGCAGCTGCGGGCCTGGTGCCACCCTCCTTCAGCTGATCAATCGTCTCTTCTGCTGGGGGCGTGGTCACTAACATTAGAGAGCAGAGCTCCCGAGAAAACTGTCACAGCTGCACCCATTTAAACAGATCTGGGACCCTAAGAATCAACCTTTGCTCTCTTATGTCATGACTTTTCTTTGTTTTGCTTGTTTTCCATGAAGCTAATAGCAGAAGATGTAGACAGCCAGCCCAACGGACAGATTCATTTTTCCATTGTGAATGGAGATCGGGACAATGAATTTACTGTGGATCCTGTCTTGGGACTTGTGAAAGTTAAGAAGAAATTGGACCGGGAACGGGTAAGCTAATTTAGGACAATGTCCTTCCCATCCACATCCTCCCCTTTCCTAGCATCAGGGGCACAAGCTCCAGGGGTGTAAATAGGAAGGTTCTCCATTCTAAGTAATGAGAGTAAATAAGGATGGGCTAAAATGCAGCATGAAATATTAGGGTTAGACCTTTGATAGAATTTTCTACCTATAATAGATGCTGGTTATGGAGGTTTTAAAGAAAAGATAAATATGTATCTTTCTAGCTGGTTTGAATTTTAGCCCTTCCTAGAGCCAGGGGACAGAAAAATACTTTCAGGGTATTGGAACCCTGTGGTCCTGACTTTACAAGCAACTTTAGCCCACGGTGAGCAGATACAAAAAGATCACCTAAAAGCATCTAGGTCAGAAAAAAATGTTACAAAAAATTTATCTGTCCACGGTTAAGTGAAGTTTCTAAACATTGTCTTTCTTCACCAAAAATATGCATCTTCAAAGGGAAATTAAATATGGAAAAGGATGACATGGTACTGATGCTGAAAAGCAGATAGATTCTACTGGGTGATACATGCCCATAACCCCAGAAATATTAACATTGACAAATAAGACAGATCAGCGATGACAACTGTTGCATTAAGCAAAGGCCCAGAGCCTGGGTCCTAACCAGGGTGGTTTTGTCCCCCAGGGACATTTAGCAATGTTTGGAAACATTTTTGGCTGTCATAACTGGGCAGGGGGTGATACTGCCTCCTACTTGACAGAGGTCAGGATTGCTGCTAAACATCCTAAAACGCACAGGTCAGCCCCCAACAACAAAGAATTATCCAGACCCAAATGTCAGTGGTGCCAAGAATCACGTGGTCTAGAAAATCAAACTAAAGATGGTTGATCTTTAACGAAGCACAGCCTGAAGCTCCAGTTCCTCTACGTGTGCACAGAAGGAAGGAAGTACTACACCTCTTTACTGTCACCTCTTTGTACCTTGGCAGGTGTCTGGATACTCTCTGCTTGTCCAGGCAGTAGACAGTGGCATTCCTCCGATGTCATCAACTGCAACTGTCAACATTGATATTTCCGATGTGAATGACAACAGCCCAGTGTTTACACCTGCCAACTATACTGCTGTAATTCAGGTGAGCAAATCTTGCCTGCCAAGCACTTGTCCCTTTGCATTCAGCTTTCTTCCTCTGCTGTGGTTTACTCATTGTGGTGTATTGCTACTATTACTTAATGTCATCTCATCCCTTCATAGGGCAGGTATGAAAAGAACCTAGTTCTTCTACCACAGCTGATTAATAAATGTGAGTGAGAGCTATTGAGGATGGAGTTTTTTCAAGTGTCAGGTGCTTTATGCACACTGTCTCTCCCCACAACAACCCTGTGAAGAGGAATGGTGGATTGGCCCCCACTTTATAATTGAAAAAGCTAAGGATCTATAAGGTTAAGTAATTCACCCAAGATCATGCAGCTGGTAAGTGGCAGAGTCAGGATTTGAACTTGGGACTATCTTCTGCAAAAGAATTCTCTTTCCCCAGTGAAAGGCTGCCTTTAAGCAACTTTATGCTATTCTGGCAGATGACAGAGATTGATACGCATTGTCTCATCAGTCAAAGACAGATTGGGCATCAGGATAGAGTTGGTACTCATTAAAATTAATTTTCCATAACCAATTTGTTTAACACTTTAAATCCACCTGCTCTTTAAAATCAGACTGCAGGGTAGAGTAACTTACTGCTGGTATTCTGCTATAAGAGAGAGTGGCTCTTCTTCCCATCTATTTTTTATTCCACGAGCACAGTACTAGGTACTGAGTGTCCACTACTTCCCAGTATTTCCAGGAGCTGAAAGCACAACTTTAGGAGGATCAGGAAATCCAGCCCAGGAAAACTGTCAGTGTAGAGAACTTAGAGGAGACAGAGTGATGTGCATGTCTTGGAGGGCCACAGCTATTCTAGAGAATCAGTTCTTGCCTGATCCAGTTTGGCCTCAGAATCACTCCCAAGGAGTCCCAGGACTTTGTGGGTGGAAGGTGAAATGTGAGTGGGCCAGGTCTTGAGGGTTCCCTTTGGAATAACATTCAAGACTTTGAGCCTGACCAGCCATAGCTGGCCTCCTCAGACCCCAGGGCCACTGAGCTGTCCAGCAATCAGACTGGGAGGCAGCCTCGAAGGAAGCAGCTGTCTGCTGGTTCCCACCCCTTTGTCAGCGAAATCTGATTCTTTCTCTGTGGTTTTCTCCCCCTCTCTGATGCTTTTTCCAGCAGCTCCGCATTCTTACCACACTCCTGCTTCCCCAGAGCTTTGCCCAGAGTCCATACCTTCCTCCATTTCTCTTTCTCTCAGCTCACTCTTCTCTATGACTGTTGCTCACAAGGGTGCTCTCTGCCCTCATGGCCTCTGTTTGCTAACCCCAAAACAAAGTGGGTTTCTCCTACTCAATATTCAGTTTTATGACACACATCGATCAGCTTGACAGACTGTTTTCAAATGCACAACAGGAGGTCAACAGTGAAAGCACGGAGAAGCTCAGCCCATGAGCGATGATGGGGCCCCTATCCACAGGGCAGGCATGTCTGTGTTACCTTACACCCTTCTTCTCACATGGTGACCCTGAGGGCCACACTGTCTCTCTCCCTGTCTTCTATGCAGGAAGCGGCCTTTACAGAGTAAGCAAACAGATCAGTCAGCCTTGTGTTTTGTGTGCTGCTGAATATGTTGTCAGCGTGAAATAGTAAATATATGTGGGGCTATGGTGGTCCCACGACTGATTCCAGAGGGAGACAGTGTCTAGTTTTTGATGACCAACAGGACACTTGTGAAAAGGAGCAAAATAAGAGGTCTCTACAGTCCTTTTCTCTTTCTTCTTCAAAAAATATGCCTCCGTTTTCCCAACCCAGAATGACTTTCTTATTCCCACACATGGTTTTCATAAGACTAATTCAGCACATAAAACTTGACTGGGCCTGCCCTCCAAACTGTAGTGTATCATCGTCTCCATCTCTGCAACCCAAACTCGTTTAATCCTTACATCGATGGTGTCATGAGGCCTGAGCTGATACAACTGATTTCGGGCCCAAGCTGTGGTATTGCTGAAGCCTCAACAGAGTAGGGGAAGGACAGCAAAGCCTGAGCTACAGAGGATTTAATTTGGCATTTTCAACGTGAGGATAACCTTTGACCCAAGAAGGAGCTTTGCATTCCCATTTGGGGAAAAAAAACAGAGAAGTTCTGCAAAATAATGCTTACGTAATAGAATCAGGACTTCCAAGAATTCTGATGAAATTAAGGATTCCCTTTCTGTTCATTGTCAAATTGAGGAATGTTTTACCCCAATTCCCTTCCCTAAAGGAACGTGGCAAAACTGTGTTCTGGAGAATGAGGCAAGGTATAAAGCCCCATTTTCCACTGGGAATATGCCTTTGTATATTGACTAGGAAGCTGCCAGGATGTCCCACCAGAAAATCCAATGCTGTGACATGGTGTGTTGGGCCTCAGCATAGTTGTGTTGTGACATGTGTGTGTGAGGAAGTGCCTCCCCATCCCAATGGAGCTCTTCAGGTCAGCTTGGGCATTGCCAGCTCACCCAGGACAAGGTGTGCCCAGCACCATGCTCAGAACCTGTAAACCCATGCAGCTCCAAGTCCTTGTGTTCACACCGGTAAAGGATTGTCCCATAGGTGGTTGTGGGAAGCAGCCAAAGATAAGAAACATGACAGTTACAGACACCAACATGTTTTCAGAAGACGAGATAATATCACAGGGAATCCCTTCTGCTGAAAGCCCTGTTTTCTAGCTCAGCACTCTCAGCCTGTAATGATGGATTTTTGTTTTTGTTTTTAATCAATGCAAAGAGAAGTGTAATTTTATCTTCCTTTTTACTATATACTCTTTTATGCAGGAAAATAAGCCAGTGGGCACCAGCATCTTGCAGCTGGTGGTGACAGACAGAGACTCCTTTCACAATGGGCCTCCCTTTTCATTCTCTATTTTGTCGGGAAATGAAGAGGAAGAGTTTGTGTTGGACTCTCATGGGATCTTGCGGTCGGCTGTGGTCTTCCAGCACACAGAGTCTCCGGAATACGTGTTGTGTGTCCAGGTATGGCATCGCGCCCTATCTCCATCGTGCTGTCTTTCTTTCTCATGCTTGTTTCTGTCCACTTTGGTGGATTTTTTCTTTGCTGAGTAAGTCAACATAATTCATTACTATGCAGGAGTGTTCCCCTTTTAATCTCAAATTCAATTTCACACCAATAAAAGCTGCCTCTGTGTGTGAAATTGAACAGGAAGGAAGGGAAGCATCATTGTTCAGGAAGGACATTCCTGTAGAGTATGCCCAACAGATGGTCACTGGGCTTAAATCTGCATTCTAAAATCTCCTGCTGCTTTACAGTATTACCCACCACATTACCCGACTTGGGGCAGCTACCAATCCCCGTCGTAAGGGGATTTAGCCGTGTCATGCCTCTGCTTGATAGGCCTTCCCCAGTGAGGCAGGAGGGGACAAAGGACTCAGCTGGCAATGGCCTCCAGCGTGTCAGTTCCTCATGGTCACTGGCCTGTGTGACGTGAAATGGGACAAAGAGGCAAAGGTGGCAGGTATGCAGAGTATAGAAGAAGCAGGAAATGAGAGGGCCCCCAGAAGTTCCCATGTACGATTTCTGCAAATACCAAGATTTTGATCCCATCAGGGAAACAGAGTGATTTTTTTCTATCCACTGTTGCCTACAGAGGACAATCTAGGCTCATTATTAATGGTGAAAATAATAGCAATAGTAATTATTGGTATTGGTATAGCATTGACTTATATACATTGTCTCTTTGGATAAATTTTACCTTACTTTAACTCCATGAAACCTTCTAAATTAAGGACTGCCAGCTCCAAGCACATCAATGAACTTTTCAATTGCCATCTGCTCCTCCAACAATATTGTGTAAATGATTTTATATCACAGGGTAGTACTCAAGGCAAGGAGAACTTTTCAGTGCCTTCTCACAGAAGCTAGCACAGTTCACCTATCCTCTCCAGATACGGAGCAGATTTCACATCTTAGGTTTTAGAATCTTTATAAAAGGGTGTCTCTCTGAGTCCCTTGTATTAAACTACCACTGAGTCCTGCGTTTTCTTCCTTTCGTCCGTCATATTCCCATTGCCACTGCCTCACTGTGTTCTGCACAGCCCCATCATCATGCTACTGTGGCAGGAGCCTCCTGGGTGCTTCCTCTGGCTTCAGCTTCATTCTCTTCTGACCCAACCCTTCACTCCTCCCATATTAATCATTCCACATAGATTATGTCATTCCCCTTAATCAGGGACCAGCAAACTACAGCTCTTGGGCCAAATCCTGCCCTCAGCCTGTTTTTAACAATGAAGTTTTACTGGCACACAGCCTCCTTCATTTAGATATGTGCTGTGACTGCTTCCTTGCATAGCACAGCCTGGCATGGTTGTGATAGAGGCTGTATAACCCACAAAGCTGAAAATATTTATTATCCAGTCCTTTTCAGAAAATGATTGCTGATCCCTGCCCTAAACTAAAACTATCTGTTGGTTTCCTAGTGTTTGAAAACTTAGGCCCTGCAGGCTGAATTCTGCCCCAGACTTTCAGATTTTGAATTTCAGGACCTTTCGACAGACACCACTCTCCAGTCCTTCTCTGGCCACAGGCCTATTGCTCTCTCACCTTATACCCAGCAGCTTCATGCCTTTCTTTCATCTTTCTGGCCTCTGACTTATGAATGGGAAACCTCTGGCCTATAAAGTCTAAACTCCACTCTCCTTTGAAGCACTCCACGGTTTGACTTCAAGTTCAATCTAATTTGCTAAAGTTATCTCCTCCTCCTTGAATTTTACATTCCAGCATGTCTTGTTCACATCATCCATCAAATAAAGTATGTGATGATGGCAATAATAAAAATAACAACAGATGGACACAGTGGCTCACACCTGTAATCCCAGTACTTTGGTTGGCCAAGGCAGGAGGATTGCTTGTGCTCAAGAGTTCAAGACAGCCTTGGCAACATAGTGAGAACTCATCTCTACAAAAACAAAAACAAAAAATAAAGTAGCCTGGTGTGGTGGTGCACATCTATATTCCCAGCTACTGAGGAGGCTGAGGTGGGAGGATCACTTGAGCTCAGGAGGTTGAGGCTACAGGGAGCTGTAATTGCACCACCACTGCACTCCAGCCTGTGTGACAGAGCAAGACCCTGCCTCTAAATAAACAAAGCAAATAAACAAATAAAAATAACAATGACATGAACCATCATGTACTAAGTATATCTATGGATGAGACCTGGGTTTAGTGCTTTGCAACGACTCTGTTTTTGAATCTCCACAACAGAAGGACCCTGTGAAGTGATGCTACTATTTTACTCATATTAAAAATACAAAAACTGAGGCTTAGAGAAGTTAAGTAACATACTCAAAGCCGGATATGTAGTGGGTGACAGAGACCAGATTCAAACTCAGGTCTGTGTGATGCCCAGGCACCGGCTTTTTCACTGCCTTCCGCATACAAGGACACATCTCTCCCCGGATCCCACCTGGTCTGCAGGGTTCACATTTTCAGATACCTGCTCCATAAACCCACCTCATGGGAATCTGCCCTTCTGAAGCCCTGCCCTTCTGAATACTTCCACCTTGCATGCCATCTGTGTTCAGTAAAGACCTGTTGCCAGAGTGGATGTTCTGTTAATTATTATACATGGAAGGAAAAGAAAAAGCGTTTTTATCAAGCCACCTAGCTTTTCTTTTCATTGTGTTACATTTTATCTGAAGCCTTACCATGATATAATTCCCACTTAAATTATGTCATTTCTTACATATGCAGAAAGGTGCTATCTGGGTGCAGTCAAAAGGAAATAATCCAACAAAAAACATAAATTTCTCCTCCAAGTGGAAAGACCACTTTATGAGGTTTCCCCTGTGGTGGCTGCATAAAATTAAAACAAGGTCAGCCTGTTGCGGGTTTGTTGACTCTTGTAGCCCTCTGTCCTCCTTCTCTATTCACCCCAGCCGGCTTTATTGTGTTGATACATTTTATTGTCCATAGCAGAGTGTACATATGGGGATGGAAGGTGATAAATCACTCCTCTTACTTAAACACACATCCTCAGCATTTTTCAGAATAGTGGCAAGGGATGAAGGAAGAAGCAAATGTAAAGGTACAGACGTCTTCTATCTGTGGGTTTTTAAAAACTTGCTATGGTTAGTTTTCTTCGTTCGTTGCCTTTTCACCTCTTGGTTGTTTTAGGCAAAGGATTCAGGCAAACCCCAGCAAGTTTCTCACACCTACATTCGCGTGCGAGTCATCGAGGAAAGCACCCACAAGCCCACAGCCATTCCCCTGGAAATTTTCATTGTCACCATGGAGGATGACTTTCCTGGTGGGGTCATTGGGAAGATTCATGCCACAGATCAAGACATGTATGACGTGCTCACATTTGCCCTAAAATCAGAGCAGAAAAGCTTGTTTAAAGTGAATAGTCATGATGGGAAAATCATCGCCCTGGGAGGCCTGGACAGCGGCAAGTACGTCCTGAATGTGTCTGTGAGTGATGGTCGCTTCCAGGTGCCCATTGATGTGGTCGTGCATGTGGAACAGCTGGTGCATGAGATGCTGCAGAACACTGTCACCATCCGCTTTGAGAATGTGTCCCCTGAGGACTTTGTGGGGCTGCACATGCATGGGTTCCGGCGCACCCTGCGGAATGCGGTCCTCACCCAGAAGCAGGACAGCTTGCGCATCATCAGTATCCAGCCCGTGGCAGGCACCAACCAGCTGGACATGCTGTTTGCGGTGGAGATGCACAGCAGTGAGTTCTACAAGCCAGCCTACCTGATCCAGAAGCTGTCCAATGCCAGAAGACACCTGGAGAATATCATGCGCATCTCAGCCATCCTGGAGAAGAACTGCTCAGGGCTGGACTGTCAGGAACAGCATTGTGAGCAAGGCTTGTCACTGGATTCCCACGCGCTTATGACCTACAGCACGGCTCGCATCAGCTTTGTGTGTCCGCGTTTCTACAGGAACGTGCGCTGCACCTGCAATGGTAAGTGCAGTTTTGAATGTTCCCTCCCAACTCCTGAGATTGTAGGAGTAGACTGAGTTATCATTCCAGCATGCCTGCGTTCAGTCTTTCGTTCAACTAAATATTAAATGATCACTTACTGTGTGCCCAAAAACTGTAATAGATGCTGGGGCTGCAGGAGGTACAGTCCCATGTAGCTGTGGCTCAGTGAGCAGCACAGACAAACAGGCGAGCCTATTTGATACATATTGTCAAGAAATGTACAAAGTCCTATGGAGGACCCAGCCGATGGGGGGATTTCCCAAAGGGAGTATCCTCTAGGTAGAGATAAGGGTCCAGTAGGAATTAGGGTAGGGGAGGGAGAGCCTTCTAGGCGAGGGGCAGCTTGCATGAAGAAGGCTTAGAGGCATAAGAGGAACCTACACTGGGGATGGAAAGAGCTTTCCTCTGGTTGCAATAAGCAGGGCTGGGATGTGAAATAAGGCTTGAGAGCAGGCCCAGACATCACACAAGGGCCATTAGCCAAGACGAAGAATTTAAAAATTATCCCGAGGCAGTGAGAGCCATTGGCTGATGAGAAGTGAAGAAGTGGCAGAATCCGATCTGTCTTTCACAGAGGGTGTGCTGGCTGCAGAGGGGAATGGATTAGAGGAGGCCAGGCCAGAGGCACGGAAACAAGTTAGGAAGCTATTGCCAAGAGTAAGGGCAGTTCGATTTGCTTCAGTGAGAAACAGGGGCCAGATGTCCAGGAGCACAGTCAAGGGATGGATTCAGCCCTCAGAGTGGCAGGGAAGGAATGGTTCGTGTTGTTGATGTAACTGGCGTCACTGATCTTTGACCTTTACTGGTCAAAGGCCATACTTGCACAGAGTCACATGCCCATAGTGATCGATGAGAAGCACTGCCCTGTCTCTCTTTTCCTCTGTCTGACATGTGGAGCCATAAATTCACTGCCCTCTTCTAAGGAAATTGCAGCCAGAGTTTTTCTAGCCAGTGTGAATTTGGTCCAAAGGGACATGGCCAGAGGGAGGCCATTTGTAAAACATCCTTTAGGTAATTAGGGACAGGCAGGGCCCCTGGCCTCTTCCCTTGCAGAAAGTTCTTGGTTGCAGTTTGGAGAATGATGTCATCGGGGGAGGCCCTAGGGGTCATAACTCCCTCTGAGAGATACTTTGACAGCCTCCAAGCAGCCCATCAGTGTGTCAGCTGCTCTCTCTGTGGTATCCAGTGAATTCTGTTTGTGATTGCATCAGGTAGAAGCAGGGATGTCCAGATTTGTTTAATATGTAAATTAGCTGCAAAGTAACTCAAATCATGAATGATTTCAAATCATGCTAGGTGAAATGCATTTCTGGCAGATGTCACCAACATGCAGAATTTATGAATGCCAGCTGTCTGGGCCTTACCTAGATTTCCTTTGTTGGCAAACTGATTTATACACCAAAGCTCTTCTAGGGTCTGTATGCGGTGATTCACACCAGGGTTCAAAAGGGGTTCAGAACAGGACAGGGAAGACCCTGAAGAAGAAACTATACTAGCTAATTAATCCTTGTACTCCAAGAACTCATTTATTTCTGCAAAAAATCTGCGAAGACAACAATGTCCTAGGCACTAAAGATTCAAAGTAAAAAAGATGCAGTTCCTGCCCTTAGGAGTTGACAATTGTAAAGTCAGCTTGCAAGCACCTACTTGCTATAACAGTGCTACAGAAAATGCTAGAGTATAGAAGGGACAGAATCTCTCCTGTGGCCAAAGGAAAGCTGTCTGTGGTATCTATACACAGAGACCACCACTGTGCTAGGTCTTCAGGGATGAGTTCATCAGGAAGAGACTGGGGTGGGAGCAGGGAGCAGACTTCGAATAATTCTTTAAAAGAAGGATTTGGAGGAGGGGTTTGCTCTCTATTTTACATAAGACGCTAATGTCCTAAATGCAATATGTTTCACGGTGATGTCTCTGCCTAGGACCCCTGTTCTCTAGTCTCCACAAACCTTTCTACTCCCAGTAAATTTAGAATGCCAGAAGGTTTTGTAAGTCAGGCCCCGGTCATCCCAAGAGGAGGCCTTCTGGGTTTGAAAAGCCAGCATTTGCTCAAGAAGAGCTTTGTGCAGAGTCAGGCCATGCTCTCAGCCTTTTCTCACCTTCAAGTCACTCTTATAATTAAGCTATAAAATGAAATTCTACATTTTAGTGGTAAAGGAGCTCCAAAGGTCATCTAGCCCAGCACTGTCTTCAGCAGGTGTTATATGATAATCTTCATTTTATAGATGTGGTAGCTTTGTGCCTTGCCCGGGGCCATACAGCTGATAAGAGTAGCATACTGATTCAAGAAAGGGCCCTCTTGGGCCCCTACTTTATTATCTGCATCTTAAGAATAGGGACTCTTCCTTTTTAAATGTGAATCATAACCTCAGTGCTATGTACTGTAGAAGAATACTCAAATACAGTCATGCGTGGTATAACAATGTTTCATCAACAAGGGACCATATATACGGTGGTAGTCCCAAACTATGGTAATACCATATTATGCCTTTTCTATGTTTAGTTTTGTTTAGATATAAAAGTACGTACCATTGTGTTTCGATTGCCTACAGTGTTCAGTACAGTAGCATGCTGTACAAGTCTGTAGCCTGGGAGCCATAGCCCGTACCATATAGTCTGGGTGCGTAGTAGGCTGTGCTATCTCGGTTTCTGTAAGTGCACTCTGTGATATTTGCACAATGACAAAATAGCCCAACGATGCATTTTGCAGAATATATCCCCATTATTAACCAACTCATGACCATAATGCAATTTTCCTAGCGGACTGATTGCCAGCCTCACAGTACAGTCCCAGTAAGGCAGAAGTTCTCTCAGACTCCTGTGTACATGGGGCTTACTAAATGCCCATTGCTGAGCCCCACACTTAGATATGGACAGTTGGGGTGGAGCCTAGGATTCTACACATGTAGCCTGGGTGACTCTAATGTTGCTGGTCAGGAAACCAAACTTTGAGAAATCACACAGCAAGATAAAGAGGAAAGAGTTTCCTCCAGGTGCAGGAGCAGGCTCTTTATTTTAATAGCAATAGCTTTCTCACTTCTAGAATTATCTTTCAAATAAAAATACAACCATGAGTTGTTAAGGTATGCATTAGGCATTTTTAGGCATTTTCTCATTTATTGGAAAGGAGAAATAATTGAATTCAATAAAGGTCCCTCCCCACAACACACACACGTGCGTGCACCCACAGGTGCATACACACACCCTCACACACAATTAGTATTGGCTGCTCTTCTGTTTACTCTAGGAGGTCGGCACATTCATTAGATGGACTTTCCCACCACTTGGTGGAATAATTAGCATGATAAGTAGAGGTAACTGTCCACTCTGGGCTGTGTAGTAATGTTTAGACAAATCTGGCCTCAATATTCTATCCTCCTCCCAACTTCCAGCTCATCTTTCTCATACAGAGTTTTTTTGGTCCAATTATCATCATTAGCATCTTGAACCAAAATGCTGTTATTCTAACAAAATGAAAGCAGACATGAATTTTGGTGCCAAATAAGCTCATTAGACTCCAGCTACCAACAAACATCGTGTCTGAACAAACTTCAAGAGATACAAAGGTCTGATATTGTGAGGTGGTTCCTGGTGAACTTCAGAGGTGCAATGAACATTGTCACTTCAGTAAGAAAGACTGACACCAACTTAAATGAATTGAGGATGATAGATGTCCTCAAGCCCAGATAGGAGATGTGCAAGAGGAAAGGGTGTCACGGCAGCCTATGGGACCTTGCTGATTGTCCATTTTTGAAAAATTGCATTCAAAAATCTAATATATAAATGTATCAAAAAGGATGCACTTGTCCAGTAGGATGGACTGCCAGTGAGACCATCAGAGTTTACAACCAGTGTGTTTATGGGTGTGGTAGAAGAAGTGGATGCCTGATTTGTCAAGTCTTTATTAAGATATGGAATATAGAATGGAACCTAGTGCTCCAAATGAAATGGATGGAGTGTTTTTGCCATGGGCGAAGCCCTGTGCTGTACAGAAATGAGTCAGACACCAGCCATGCCTTCAACCAGTGGGGGATGGCACTGTCATAGGGTTTTCTCAGAATATAAAGAGGAATCACTGGAGGTGGTGCTGCCTGAGCAAGGTCTGAAAAGGATGCCTGGAATTATCTAGGTGACCAGGATAGGAGATTGAAAATCAAAGGGCATAAGAGCCAAGGCATAGAGGTGAGAACTGGTGTGCAATTCTGTGCATGGATCAAGGCAGGGACAGACAGATCAGATAATGTTTATCAAGCCATGATCAGTTTGCATGCTGTTTTTCACATGCATGCAATTGCGTTTAACTCTTACTATATTTCTAAAGAGTAGGTCTCTTTAACTTTTTTCAAAAATTAAGGAAACCAAAACTTGGAAAGGTCAATTGACTCACTCAGAATCACAGAGCTACAGAGCTAGTAAATGACAGAGCCAGGATTCATCCTTGACTCTCTTATTCAAAGCATTTTTTAACCACGGCACTTTACCATCTCTGCACAGATTTGAAAGGAATTCAGAAGTTTCCTAATCCAAATTCCCACGCACAGCAGACATCCTATTTTCTATATTCCTGGCATAGTAATTCAGCCAAGTTCAAGCACCAGTACTGGAAGCTTACAAGGAAGCCCTGAGATTATCTTCTGCCTTATAGCATACCAGAACTTCTCTCCTTGTCACGTCATTCAGCTGTATCCCTCAGAGCCACGCAGATCCAACCTGACTAACCCTGCTTCTACAAACTGCCTCTGGGTAACTAAGGATAGTTGTTATGACCCTTTGCATCCTCTTCCTAGCCAAACACAAGAAATTCCTTTGCTCCTTGGCAGGAAACAAATGTGTGCAATAAAAACTATAGGTGGTGTTATTGGGGCACGGAGGAAGCATAAAGGAGGGTGTTATCAGCTCTACTTGGAGGACTACAAGAAAGGCATCGGAAGCAATGAAGCATGTCATAATAGGTCTTTGCCAGGTAGAGGATGCATTTT